ATGCTAATTTTTCGTATAATTATATACATGTATGATTAAGATAGTTATTTTTTTGTATTTGTCAAAAACAATTGTGGTAGTTTAAAAATAGGAATGGTTGATTAAAAAGTTCAGTCGTATAGGTCTATAACACAATGAAAACATAGTAGCTGAGTTTTGAAAGATTGGACTTGAAATTTGATGGCCCTTGAGTCTCAATTTAGATCTGAAACTAGATTGTTTACTCACCCTTTTTGTTTCTAATCGTCGTCTTCACCAGGGTGGCAAGCTCTTGTGATTCTTGGTCTGATTGTGTTTTTAGTGTGTTAGTTTGTGAAATTATAGTTTTTCTATAGCAACATGGAAGAGAGATTTGCTCACCTCAGTTAAGGCTTCTCCGCCGCATTCCTTACTCAGTTAATCTCTGTTGATTCGGCGTTCTCAGACTTGCAATAAGAATGCATGACATAGAGACTCGAAGGATACATGACGGACGCTGGTGACGCTAGTTTTAGGAACAGGAGAAGCAGAGAGAGATATTTTATAGAAGATGGTTAAAGCCAAAAGGAATCGCTAAGTTTTGTGGAGATGCATATATAGTTCATCAAAGATGAGAATCATATATATATGATTTACAGAGGGGCTGCAAATCAGGAAATTTTATGATCAAGCGATGTAAGATGGAGAGATAAAGAGTTCACCGGTGAAAAAAAATAGATTACAAACAAACACACGGCGCAGCTCTGTAACTCGGATCTGTCTGAGACGATGATGAAAGGAATCTTAACTCATTTTAAACATCGACGGTTTACAATATAGGAAAACTATAACTGTTGTAAACTTGATTATTTTTATATATAACGTGATGAAGCCCAATTAAAAATGAAACTCATAATACACTTGCAAGCCCGAACCTTAAAGGAGGCCAAAGAAGCAAAGGTTTCCGGCTTTCCTAAATATATATTAGTTCCGGCCATCAATGTACAAGTTATCATGTAGTTTAGTGGTATGAGTTTTAGTGTTTGTTTCTTAGTAACCTGGATTCAAACTATATGTTTGACATTTTTTCACATTTTTAATGTGTGACCCACCTAATGTTAATGTGGCGCGCTGAGAAATCTTAAAACTCAACTATTATAATATAAACTATTTATTCAAAACACCAAAAGAAAAACGTATTGTCATGTTTATGACATGAAAAAATTGAGATTTGATAGGATAACTAATTAATATTCGGTGAAAATGGTTAAATTCTTTAAAAAAATTAAGTAATGAGAACATTAAAGTCAATTAAAAATAACCAGGAAAAAAACTTAAGAAAGACTGTGTAAGAAAACACTATGAAAAAAAAATCTTTTAAGAACTTCATGGATTACACCATTCCGCAAGTGGAATGTCGTAGGAAACCAGCCACTTAATTCATTCTCCTCCTTCTTGATCCTCAGTGAAGGTGTAACTTTGGTCTCACTTATCTCATCAAAATCTGTTAACAAATCCTTAATCGGGAGTCCAGTCCGTTTAGCTTGGGTCAGAAAATTAGATGTCCTTGATTGGGAGGAATCACCAATTTCCATCGCACCACTATGTTTCAATTGCAATGATAAAATTAAGCTAACACAAAAGATTACAAGTATAGGGTGGATACATGTAAAGTAAAAACAGTACCACAAGGTGTTGTGAAACAGTTAAACACGAAGGGCTTACAATGTGTTGACTTCCCTGCAATAAGACAAAAGAAATCTATAGTTACTAAAAAAATTGTCTATGTGAATTATCATGAAAAAATTGGTTGTAATGATAAAGTTAACATACCGTAGGATAATAGCTTACATCAAACTCATTTATCATGTCTGCGTTTGTTATAATGTTTAGCACCTTGAATGTCTCGTGCTTGTAAAGATAATTATCTTTCTCGATAAGGATCTTAAAAAGATACGTCTTACCAACCAAATTAGTCAAAGCTTTAGGTAAAGCAAAAGGATCCTGAATCTAACAATAAGGTCCCAGTAGAAACAGAAAATACAAAAATAAATGTCATTAGGAAGGCCAAACTACAATAATCAATAAAGTGAATTGATACAAGATATAAGTCATCATACCTCAGATGTAACTTTTCCAGTTAACTCAACGAACGGTTGATGGAGTAACTGAAATGCAAGACTGTCAATTAGATGTAGTTTGATGTCGCTTGTATTATCAAGTACTACCAAATGTAAATTAAACCTACATTCTGTCAGTATATGATTCACCAATTAAAAATACAAAGTTCTCGTTACCATATTATAGAAAAACAAACATATAATAATGTACCTTGGCAACAGTTTTGGATTAACAATCTTACACCTAGTACAGTAGTATATGTAACCCCCATCGAGTATGGTAATGACGGCATCATCAGTGTCATTTGATAAAGTCAACACTTTAGTTGCGCAGACTCGACAACTCAAATAGTACCAACCCATGTTTGTATTAATTTCAGCTATCGTACACATAAAAATACATTTCTCCACCTATATAAATTCATTAAAAAACATATAATTCAAAATAAATAAGGTTAATACTAACAGTCACTGGTTTAGAAGGCAAACATTTCTGGTCTCTAAAACCTCCGAGAGTGTTTTCCTTGGAGTATGAATAAAAAATCTTCCTTCTCTGAGATCATTGAAACCACGGACAGAGGTTTGGGCTCGACAATAGCCAACGGTAAAGAATCTTTTGGCAACCTAAACAAATATAACAACCATTGAACGAGAATAAGTTGGTAAGAAACCAAAACGCATGATAATCATGATGTTAGGCTTAGGAAAAAACCCATACACTCCCTGGAATGCTGCAACCTCATGCATTGAGGAATTTAAAGCTAGATGAGACACCTTATATGCATTAGATATACTTCGATCATCTATTTATCAAAAGTTAACTGAAAAAACACAAATAAAAAAAACAATCATGGTTATAGATAAGTGGAAATCAAAACAATAAAAGAATGCTCCTACGAAGCTAAATTGCATTACTAACATCCTTAGCTAATTGTCCCATAAAACACACGAAAGCCTAATATCTCTACATGACATAAAAACAACGGGTCAACTATTTACTGAAAAATTAAGGCGGCACTCGAAAAAAAGAACTGCAAACTTCTAAGTAAAAAATTCAAAATTTATCTTAATGTATAACTTACTATTCATTCTGCTGCTCACATGAAATCTTTTCAGTGTCTTTTCCATTCAAACTTATGATTTCAAGAGGACTAACCTCAACAATCTTACCGGTAACATCTACATTTATACAACCTATCATAAGAACACATTATATACATGACCACAAAATATTATAATATTCAGTATTGGAGAGAGAATACAAAAACTCACCAACCAGAAAGTCTGTATTGAGATTACCAGCCAATATTTCACGAATTGGCTGGAAACAAGTCAAGCGTAGAGGTAAATCTCCACAAAACCGAACACGGGTCAAGGGTAGAAAATGAATCTTATAGGCGTGTTTGGTGGTTCGAGTGGGCAACTACAAAATTAATCAAAATTTGTGAACACCCTTCGTTTAGAATTGCTTCGAAATGGGACACCAAATCATTGTTTACAGTTGCATGTATCTTATCACCCTGTACAATATGAAAATAAAAAATTAATATATCAAATAGACACTTGAATCCATATATAATAGTGTTAGATAGACCATTAGAAACGTGATCAGACAACTTACACTTGAATTGCTAAAACCATCTCAATGCTCTCTCCAGTCCGAGCAGAGTATTGTTTCCAAGAGCGAATTATCTTAACCCTTATTCGCCACATTGTTTTGAAAGGTTTCAATGCAGATTGCATAGACTTGGTCAAAATTTGCCATTTTTTATTCGTTTGGAACTTCTTGACTGTATGTGAGGTCGACATCATAAGAGTTCATTATTATATAGTAACCATCATTCATTAGGTTATAATTAGGTCACATCGAAATATTAGAATTAAAATATACTTCATGGCCATTAAGAGTTGGTAAAAAAATGGAAAATAGCACATAATAATATAGTGTTACCATATCTTGATAACTACAAAGCAAATAACAATATTTTCAAACTGGAAATACTCGGTGAAAACTCAAAATCTTAATTATGAATATATTTTTCGATTTGTGGTATCTTCTTTAATTATTTCCGTATTCTCCAAGTCAAATCCGACCTACAGCTTTAAATCAGTTTTGTTGATATTATTTTAGATTATGCATCTTATATTCATTTCTGCCATAAACGCCAAGACTAATGAGAAAATGAATAATAAAGGACCGATAAATTTTAATTCAATAATTAAAAGTAAAAAATAGTTAATCGAAAAGAACTTGACTAAAAAAAATGTGATTTCATTTTAATATATATACAAACTTTATAACATGAATGACAATAACTATATTTTCAAAATAGTAAAACTTGGTGAAAACACAAGATATTAATAGTGAATATATTTTATTTCTGATATGGGGTACCTTATTAAAAGGTTTGCGTAATCTCCACGTCAAATCCGAACTACACATGTAAAATGACTATGTAATTTTCAATTATGCATCTTATATGATTTTTTGGCATCTACTCCAAGACTAATGAGAAAGTTAATAATATAGACCAATAAAATTAAATTTGAAATTAAAACTCATACAACGGTAATCAAAAATAACTTGACTTACAAATAATTAAGTAATCATATAAATAGAGAAACGATATTTAAATGGTCAAACAGTGCATACAAAAATATGATATTAAATTTATTACAATTAGCCTAGATATTGTCAAATTTAATATGTGGATGTTGTTAATCTACAGCATCATAAATAAATAAACAAAACTAGGGAAAATAATAAAGCAGAGGCTTTCTATTACTTTAAAAATAACAGTGAAGTTCGAGAAAGACAGATGTTGCAAAATCAAAATGCTTGTAAAAAACAATTACTTAATAATAAAAACACCAAATGAAAACGAAAGCCTCTATAAAATGTCCTGCAATCCCTATCTCCCTTCAGTCACTTTTGTCGGTCTTCTCCTTTTTTATCAGAATTGAACACGAATTCTCATCATAGTGTTCCTCCAAGTTAAAAACAGTTGTTCCTCGGCATTTAGCAAGAGTGAGTGCATTATCTTCAGCTTCCTGGGACGACCCTTCAGACAACATTAAGGAACCATATAATACATGTAAGAAATTGTTCAAATACACTTGTATATTGATTGTAAGAACCAAAGGTCAATCCGATTAAAAAATAATAATAATTACCTCCGGTGCATCTGAAATCACCGAGTTTTCCCAAAGACAAAATATTCACACGTCCCTGCAGAATCAAAAACATATTACAAATCCTAAAAATGACCGTAATGAATCAAAACCTCAAACATATAATCAGCAACATTACCTTTGCTTGACTCAAGTCCTCAAACTCGGTAATCATGTAAGTGTTGGTGACAATTTTTAAGACTTTGTACGTGTCATTCTTGTAGAGATAATTTTCTTTCTCAATACCAACCTTGAAGAGATAGGGTTTACCTACTAAATATTTGAGTGCCAAAGAAAGATCAGCCGGCTCTTCCATATGTCAATACCGTATTAAAAGAGATATAAAACAGTGACTGATCATTGTTCACAATGATACAACCCAAGTTACCTCATCAATATTAGTTACAGCTAGGTCATTGCAAGGGTAATGAAGTAACTGGAGTGCAAGATTGTTGAATTGTAGAAATTTTGCATTGCCGGTATTGTCTAGCACTACCAAATGCAATTTGTATCTAACATAAACGACAACATATTAAATTACAAAAGGCATATTCGTGTACATTTTAATATCTATGAAAGCTAGTATATAGTAATTACCTTGGCATCAACTTTGGGTTCTTCACCTTGCATTTGACGCAATAGTAGTGGAAACCAAGTTCATCATCATCTTCCCCATCGTCAATGATATCATTAGGCACATTCATTACGTTCTTGGAACACACTTTGCAACTCAAATAATACCAACCCATATCGGAATCAATAGCTTCTATAATGCACATCACAATACACTACTCAACCTAGATGAATAAACTTGAACCAATAACATATCTGACATGTTTCACAATCTAATAATACAACAACTCTTTAAAATATACGAAACAAATGGGACAAAGATAGTAACAACACAGCCGTTTGTCAGCGCAAGCGGTTTAGGTTGAACAACTACCAATGGAAGTTCATATTTTAGAAACCTTTAAAGAAGAACAACACGCTACTAAACCACAAAACCTTGATAGATATTTATATCGTTTTATTTTGCATATATAAAGAAAAAGAAAACCTACAGTGACAAAAACGTCTCCACCTCAGGCATAAATGGATTCAGTTCGACATCTGAAACGTTGTAGGCATTGGACACACTACGCTCGTCTGCAATTGACAATGTAAAGGTGTAAAAAAAAGTTCTTACCAACTTTTATCAGATGAGATATACGAACTACTATATTAAATGATGGGATAAAATACCTTTCCAAACTTTAATTTTCTCAAACCGCAAAACACAAACTATTGCATTATCACCGCCTCTTTCAATAGCTTCACTGACATCAGTAGCAAAGTTACCCCATAACACCATCAGCAGACGTTCATCCCTAAAATACAAAGAAAAAATAAAAAACAACTCCACCGAAACCAGTGTTGTTTAATATAGGGTTGAAAAATATAATATATTATATTATATTACTTTTCATTCCGAAGTTTCACGGTGATTTTCTTTGTGTCTTTCTCATTAGTCGATACAACTTCACTTGCGGTCACCTCAACAATCTGAGCTATTACATTTGAAAACATAATATATGCGTTATATAATGTATAAGAATTTTTTAAAAAATTATACTCTCGTCTAAGCTAGATTGTTATTACTTACCAACCAAATAGTCAGAATTGAGTGTACCATCAAGAATGTCCATGTAGTTGACTGGTTCAAAACCAGTTAGCTCATCGGGAAAATCATCACAACATCTCACACCTGTTGTCGAGAGAAATCCAATTTTGTATGGATGTATCGCTGTTCGGTACGAACCGCATGATGAGAATCTTAGAACTGCCTAAACGATTCAAACTGATTCACCAGATCCTTTTTTAACAGAATCATGTATCTTAACACCCTACAAAAACTTATAACAATAATGGATATCTAAAGCATACAGAAATTTTTAAATATCAAAACACAAAGAGTGAAGAGGCCCTACATTGGAGTTTATTAGAACCATCTCGATCGTCAAACCACCAGCAGCAAGATACTATTTCCACAACCATATGATCTTCACCATAATCTTTCACATCAACTTAAATGGTTTCAAATCACACACAACAGTTATCGCAGCCATTATAGTAGAATCTGTTAAATTTGCTAAGATTTCGAGTGTATATATGCAATTATATTATTGAGAGAAAAGAGACTTATATAGGTTCTGTAAACCTAATTTCATAGGGTATAGATCGCTTGTAAATCGATATTAATACCATATATTCTCACCACCATAACATATAAATTTTAAATATTTCGAACAGAAACCAAACCAAATGAAACCGAATCGAAAACAAACCAAACAAAAATAGTTTTAGTTTAGTTTGGTTTGTATCCAAGTCAATTTAGTTTTGTTTTGTTTGTGTTTGTTCAGTTCAGTCTAGTTGATTTTTAGTATTGTTTAAGTTCGGTTACATAATATAATTTATAAAAACATTAAACAAATCATCATTTGACATTAAATAATTAATTTCTTCATATTTAAACGTAAAGTCAAACATCATAATGTAGAACAAAAATGTAGAAGATTTAATCCAGTAATTTTATAACATTACCAAATTTAGTAAACACCATTTGTATTTTTTATGGTTTTGATATTAATGTATAAGATTCATATTATTTTATTTTAATTTGTGCTTCTTCTATTCATTTAGATGTAAATATATAAAATTATGTTTGTTTGTTTAAATTAAATATCTTAAATCTTAATATTATTAATATATTTAGTTAATCTAATTAAAGAAATAATTCAGTTTTTCAGTTTGTTTTGGTTTAAAACTGAACCAAACCAAACTATATTTGAATTGGTAAAATCTTTAACCAAATGGTTTAAATATATACTTTATTTTAGTTTGGATTGCTTTGCGTTCAGCCGTACCGGTTTGGTTTGGTTCAGTTGATTGTCCATCTCCAATTCACATAAAAAAAAATTCTGATTAGACTGTTTAAAAAATAAAAACATAATTCTCTGAAAAAATGATAATGTAGTTTTCAAATTTAAATCTCATATGCATTTCTCTAAATTTTCTTTTTCTCTTTGACTAAGTATATAACTAAAATTAATTTTAAGAAAGCAAAATCCCTTATATATTAAAGGAGAAACATTTAAAAAATTGTAACCTCAATTTTGTAATAATTAAAAAAGACCTCATGCTTAGGTGTCACTCAATTAGGTAGTCAATTACATTCAATTGAAAAATAAGTTGGTCCACATTCGATTTTTATATTTTGCTAGATACATTTGTTGGTCAAATTATATGATATGATGATATGATATGATTTTTATGATAGAAGCATTTATGATTGTTCCCCTAGATATATTACTATTTTATTTTCTTTCCATAAATAATACCTACGGAATTACCATAAATGACTAATATATATATATAATGATTCTAATAATAAATTTTTGATAACAGTTTATATATCCTCCATCATTTTTCTTTAATTTTATATTATTAAAATAAATTAAACAATCAAATTAGCTATAAAATTAAACTTTAGATTTTTTCGTATATGTTATATTTTGAATTTAAAAAAACGAGAATAAATAACTAAACTATTAAAATTATTATGTTAAAAATTAATGATCAATAGTTTAACATTTTATAATAAAAAGATATACATGATTTTAAAACCATATAAGTAAAAAGTATCATTCAATAATAAAACAAATATATATACAGATTAAACTATATACCATATAAGATTACATAAATATTTTAATTTCAAAATCCTCAATAAATTTTCAAGAACATTTATAAATTATAAAATTATTAAATTTTTCACATTGAAAATTTTTGTTATCAATGATTTAAATATCTTAGTTCTTTTTTAAATTTTATATTTTTAAAAGATATTAACAATCGATAATATGGTTATTTTTGGTATATACCATACAAACCGAATGGATGTGATTTTATAAAAACCATAGGATTTGGATATGGTTTGATTTATAACCGATTAAACTGAAACATGTAAATATGTATATATTTATAACGACGCATGAATATATATTTGTTACATGAGTTGAACTATAATTATAATTTGTAAATAGCTAACAATTTATTACAACTTAGACTTCTTATTTTGATCTTTTTCCTTTTTAACAGTAACTAAATTGAAGTAAAGTTATAAATTTGATGGACAACAATTAGTTGAAATTCTTTACAACTTTTTTTATCTTTAAACAAACAAAGTTGTGTTCAATCGAAGACATGTTGGTTTGATGAACACTAAATATGGAAGAATATAAAAACTTTTCTTTCATGCTTCTCTTTTGTTTTTTTTTTTGTTTTTTTTTTCAAAATTTAGTGTTTTGATATTAATTCTAGATTTGATCATTTTATTAGATGATAGAAGCTTTTTTTGTTTTTTATTCTTTTATTTAAATATATAATATTTTTTCAATAAATGACTGTGATAATATGACTCTAAATATGATCATATTATATATTTGTATAATATAATATGATCTCAAACTAAATAATCATGTTTTTTGGTATAAAATTGAATAAACTGAAAACCGATGGTATATAAACCAAATCAAAGTGAAGTACATATAGATTTAGAATAGTAGTTATATTTTAATAATCGAAATACCAAAAAATCGAGCCGAACCGAAACCCGATATCCGGATTGAACACCTCTAATCCGAATGAAACCGAACTATTGTTTCATTTTTCAAAATATAATAAAAATAATAGCTTCATCCCGCGCAAGGCGCGGATCTTATCCTAGTTTATTGTATCATTGGAACAATATTATCTTTCGTAATAGGCTCATTGCATTTGACTTTTCCTAGTTTAGATAAAGATTTTATTTTTTGTTAAAGAAATTGTACGAGAAAATGGATCTCAAAATATTTTTTAGTTTAGGACCCATATTTTATGTCTGAGACGGCCTCCGGTCATAGCAATGACAACCGTCACAAAAGAGCATAAACATTTTGTAGCTGAGATTTGGATTAGTCAACATGTTTTGGTTATAGTCAACGTGGTTAGATTTTAAAAAAGAAACAAGTAGATATAGTATGACTCGTATCTTTTTCCATTTTAATAATCCCAAAATCAAATTCAGCTGTATATAATTAGAAAAGTGCCCCCTATACATTTTAATAAATTAATTCAGCTTTAGCTGTATCCCAAATTCCAAGACTCTTAGGAGTGGATGGTAACTTTTTTGAAAATTTTCTAAGTAAACCTATTACTCCCTCTGTTTCGAATTAATTATCATTCTGGAGGAAAAATTTCGTTTCAAAATAAGTGTCGTTTTAGAGTTTCGAAACAAAATTTATTAGTTTTATATGATATTCTATTTTTCTATTGGTTGAAAAGTGGTTAGGTGTATAGGTAATTGGGGTTTTTCTTGAAAATATGCAAAATTAAATGTTTCTTTAATCTGTTGTGTGCAAAAACGTAGAATGACAATTAAAATGAAACGGATGGAGTATTATTTATTACCAATTTATACACTTTTTATTTTCTGGTATTTCACTTTCCTTTTTTCCAACTTTATATTTATAAATTCAATATACAATGTACTAAAAGAATATGCTCTCCTTTGAATTATTTATTTCCTATTTTACATCTATTATGTATATTTTTTTGAAAATTTTCAAAGTAAACCTATTATTTATTACCAATTTGTACACTTTTTATTTCCTGGTATTTGACTTTCCTTTTGCCCAAATTTATATTTATAAATTCAATATACAATGTACTAAAAAAAATGCTCTCCTTTGAATTATTTATTTCCTATTTTATATATATTATATATATCATTTTTTTGAAAATTTTCAAAGTAAAACTATTATTTATTACCAATTTATACACTTTTTATTTTCTGGTATTTCACTTTCCTTTTTTTCCAACTTTATATTTATAAATTCAATATAAAATGTACTAAAAGAATATGCTCTCCTTTGAATTATTTATTTCCTATTTTACATATATTATATATAATTTTTTGAAAATTTATAAAGTAAACATACTATTTATTACCAATTTGTACACTTTTTATTTTCTGGTATTTGACTTTCCTTTTTTCCCAAATTTATATTTATAAATTCAATATACAATGTACTAAAAAAATGCTCTCCTTTGAATTATTTATTTCCTGTTTTATATATATTATATATATCATTTTTTGAAAATTTTCAAAGTAAAACTATTATTTATTACCAATTTATACACTTTTTATTCTGGTATTTTCAGTTTCCTTTTTCCTTTTTTCCCAACTTTATATTTATAAATTCAAAATACAATGTACTAAAAATATATGTTCTTCTTTGAATTATTTATTTCCTATTTTACATATATATTATATATATTATTTCCCTTTCCATTACCTTTTGAAAACCCTAATTTATCTATCAACTATCTCTAAATAAATATCTCCCAAATTTAACCCACCAGTAGAAAAGAAAAAGACAAATAGTCAGTCACATTTCATTTGCAGGTAATTATGAATGTTTTCTTCTGAAATTAAGATTCCGCCATGGAAGTTTGATCATTAAGTTGTACTTAATTTCACTTTGCAAGACTTCATCTTTCTCTTTTTTATTTTTACTCTTACTTCCTCTGGATCTCTTTCCTCTTTCTTTCTCTTGTCTGTACTCTTAAAGTCTTTGTCTCAGAAACTTGAATCTGTCGTGATCAGCAAGATTCGAGTGTTCTCCTTACTTGTCGGAATCTCTCCTTACAGAATCTAATGGAGGAGAGAGAAGGAACCAGCAGCAACAACAACAACATAACTAGTTTTGGTCTGAAAGAACGTGTGGCTCCTCCTACTGGTGGGGTCTACCAGATGGACCCACCACGGTCCGAAAACCGTAACCCTTTTCCGGCGGGACTACCCAACACCACCGCCGCATCCGCATCTGCCTCCGCCGTAGCGGCCAAACCTTCTGAGAACGCTGCTCCTCCTTTCAGCTTAACAATGCCGGTGGAGAACTCGTCTTCTGAGTTGATGGTGAAGAAGAGAGGGAGGCCGAGGAAGTATAATCCCGACGGCTCACTCGCCGTGACTTATTCTCCGATGCCAATCTCCTCCTCGGTCTCGTTGACGACGGCGTTCGCTCCTCCGCAACGAGGACGAGGGCGCGGAAGAGGAAGAGAACGCGGCAGAGGACGTGTAGAGCCGCCCAATATCAACAACAACAACAATTGGCTCAGGAATCCTCAGATGTTCGAGTTCAACAACACTTCTCCTGGTAATGTCATTTCTGTTGGGGTATAAGAATCTTTAGGTCTCTGTTAGAATCAATACGTGGCTCTGCTTATAATGGATCGTTTGGTTTGACTTATCAAAAAGGTCTGAATAAGGACAAAGGTTTTTGTTCAATAAAATGAAGGTTATTGTTTGATGAGAGTGTCATAAGCACTGTTGATTAAGACTGTTTGCTGTTTTGGTTTTAGCAACTTGTCAGATTTCACTTTTGCTACCTAAACTGTTATTCTTGATTCGTTTGATGTTTACTTTTGTAGTTGCAGCAACTTCGGAAGTTGTCGGTTCAAGTTTTACGCCGCATGTGCTCACTGTGAATGCTGGCGAGGTATGTTCTCTTTTACTTGTGATTTTGTCAAGTAGATTATCTCTATGAGATGATTCATCAAGCTTTAAATGATGACAGATTCTCCTGAGATTTGTAACTTTATTTGGATCACTGGTTTATAACAGGATGTGACGATGAAGATAATGACATTCTCTCAACAAGGCTCTCGTGCTATCTGCATTCTTTCAGCAAACGGTCCCGTTTCCAGTGTTACACTTCGTCAATCTATGACATCTGCTGGTACTCTCACTTATGAGGTCTGTTCTCTCTCTCTCTCTCTCTATTGGATTCCTTTAGAAGCCTTTTCATTTCACTAAACTTATAGTTAACAATTTGTGGTGAGGTCATCAGGGTCATTTTGAGATTCTTTCTTTAACGGGTTCGTTTATAACAAGTGAGACTGGAGGTCTCCGAAGCAGAGCTGGTGGGATGAGTGTGTCTCTTGCAGAACAAGATGGCCGTGTCTTTGGTGGTGGGCTCGCCGGTCTCTTTGTAGCCGCTGGTCGAGTTCAGGTTACTAACTTATACATAATGAGGTGTTTGATTTCTCTGATGGACTCAAGTTTTTTTGTCAGTGTTTTGAAGCATTGTTATCCGTTTTTTCAGGTGATGGTAGGGACTTTTGAAGCAGGTCAGGAGGAATCTCAGCAGCAGCAGATGCAGAATCAAAGAATGGAGAGAGTCGGGATCCCCATGACAACACAAGCTTCTAACATCTCATTCGGTGGTGGCTCAGCCGAAGATCCAAACGCTAGGTATGGACTCAACAAGCATGTTGTTATCCAGGCACCACCCGTGTTCGTACCACCTGTGTCCCTTCCCCATGAGCGAAGCATTAATACACAAAACACTGCTAACCAAATCAGGGATCTCTTCTCTTCTCTCCCAGGAGAGGATGATGAAAAAGATGATGAGGATTTTGAAGGTGAAGAAGATGATGAAGAATTTGGAAGCGACAGCGAATCTGACACAGAGGTTCCATACTGATGATTGAGTGAGTGAATCTGACATTTATCGTTCTTGATCTTGACCTGCTGCGGTTTGGACTTAAGATTCTTCAGTGCTCTTCTCTATATTTTAGTTTTCGGTTTATTATTAAACAAAGACCTCTCACTAATGAGTTTGGGATTATTGGAGGATGTAATCTATAGGGTTCTTTGACATGTTTTCTTTCTATCCCCTAGTGGTTGTTGTAGAATTTCAAAAACTCAGGTGTGTGTTGCAAACTCTCTCTCATTCGCTTCATTTTCAAAGTCAAGCGACTTTTCTTGCTTCGTCTTTAGAGAATCTAGCTGCATTATAACTGTTAGATTTATAACAATGTGTTTTCTCATTGAGTTGAATAATAATGGTGAGTATCTATGCTACCTTTTAAAGTGTTCACAAAAGATGATAACTAAGCTAAACAGGCTTACAATTATGCACAGTTACAATAGCTAGTACACGGAAATAAACATATGATCGAGTAAAATCCTTTATATACCAAATTTCTAAGTCATTGGCGAATCAGATTTTGACATATTGGTCAATATTTTTAAATACAATTAATTCATGAAATGAGACTATGCGTGGAAATACTAAAGTAGTTGTTTTACCACTTTTCTTTCAGTTGTTTCATTGTTATTGTTTTTTTGTTTATTATAGATTTATAGTCATGGGGCAAAAGAAAGACAGCTTATGTTGCCATTACGGAACATGAAGATGACATATCGGTGGTGCTGGTGGGACGCGATTCAGGTAATTATTATGGTTTTCTCGATATATTATCCCTAATTTATGTTGTTATGCAAGTACAAGTTAACACTCTTCGGTATCTCTTGACAACAAGGAAAATGGTGTGACTGGTGTTAGTATATTTTAAACCCAAAATGTATTTTTAAGACATCTTCAAAATATATGTTCAATTCATAACAAATTAAGATTTTTTCCCCGTACGTAGTACATGACCGAACACTAGTAACATATAAACAGCTAAAGTCGTGGATAAGTTCTCTAATATTGGCAAGGAATGAAGCCTTGGATATTAGAGAGTATATTCAATGATCCAACACTGGAGATTAAAACCGTAAATAGTGCAGCTTTAATAATTATGGATTTTGCTTTACAAATGGAGGTGGTCCAGTACCAATTTCTGACCCTCTCAACAGAATAAACACCAAAGAATTTGTAATATTCCAAACAAAATATCTTGCAATGAAATCATTCAAAACAAGTAGTAAATATGTGAGGAAAACATACTCCACAAAAGAGAAACCAATGTGGGTCACTAAGGTTAACCAGCCAACACCAAGAATTGGTGAATGAACAATATGATTAGCTTCGCTGCTGCTCCAGCAAACCCACCTTCATGACAAATCTCTCTCTAACAATATGACTTAACACAGATATTTGGGACCAAGCGAACCTGATTCATTGGTAGAATGCAACTTAAAAGATTTCTTCCCAATCGGAAGAAAAATCTAGGTTATGGCCTGACATGAAATAAGTTTTTCTTCTTAAATAGGAAACTTCTAGACATTTGATCTAGAATATGTAAAATTAAATTAGTCGTTTGCATGGAAACTTCTAGACATTTGATCTATGGATGACAGTATTCATGAACGGCCAAGATCACAAAAACTTCAACGGGCGGATTTCATGTTTTAGTTGCATTGTGAAGGCTTCATGGTTATCACGAAACATATTTTCGATGGTGGTCCACAACTCACGCGCTGTGTACTTGTTTTTTTAAAACAGGTTTGAGAAGCAATTCAGATATCGTCGCATAAGAGAGCACTACATCATGGGTTACTTGGACCTTTAACAGGTTGAGGTACTTCCTGCTGGAGGTGTACTTAGACTACCTTTTTGATTTACTATTCCCCAAATTTCCTTGGTGGAAACAAGACTAATTAGGTCGTAAAAAGTAAACACTAATTAACTTCTTTTTTTTGTTGTAGTTAATTGGTAAGTTTATTGAGTAGTGTATTTCAATGGGAACCGTTAGATTAAAGTGTGATAAATTTCAATTGAACGATTGGTGTAAACACAAGTACCAACCAGATAAATGTGTGGTTAGATATGGTGTGGTCAATATTTTAAATTCAAATAACAATCATGACTACGTATTTGTTTTTCTGCATAAATGGTGTTGATGTTGGTCGCCCATGTCTGCCTTGGTAGGAGCTTCTGATTTGATAGACGAGGATATTTGCAGTAGTGGTTGTTGCCTTTCGTTGTTAGGAAAAGTGTGGTTGAGTGAAGGGTGGTTGGGTGAACCTTGGCTGGAGAAGCTTGGCTTGGTGATACGTGGTTGTTGGAAGATATGTGGTTAGGGTCAATGTTCATATGGTCAGAATCAGGGTTCATATGGTTAATTCATCAGTTGATCTTGATGTGGCGGCCTCCATTGTTCTGTGACGAAAGAGAAAAGGGGATCTCTATGTCACTGTCTAATGGTGGTTTAGAAGTAAAGTGGGAGATGTAGGTTTAGATTTTGTCATACCTTACGGAAGAAGAAGTAGCGATGTTGAAACCTAGATAATCTTCACTGATATTCCCTTTTTGACAGTGGAGGCGGTGAGAATCATTAATTTCTAGGGTTTGAGTGAAAGAGAAGGGGGCGGATGAAAGATAAAAACATAATATTACTTTCTTTTTTTTTAATTCGTAACTAAACTTATTCTTGTTCTGGGGAAATTTTGACAAAAGAACAAAGGAAAGTACTGGACATGGTCAAAGTATGTCAACGTGATATAGGTCCAAAAAAAAATATGTCTAAACGTAATTTTTTCGTCGCATAAACCGTGGTAGATAAGCATTATAGAAATGAAATTCAAGTAATAAAAAAACTAACAATAAATATGTAAATATTCTCAATCGCTTATATATTAAAAGATAAATATTGTAATAAATACGTTTACACCGTAATTGACATGTGTCGGCTTTACAACCATTTGGCAATTAATGCGTTCACACATTAATTTTTTAAATTCATTATTTAATGTGTTTATATACTATTTTTAATTAATTCATTTTTCCTACATTTTTAGCATTTGTATTAGTGAATTAAAACTTTCTACGTATAACTAGTGAATAATATCTTTATTGTAAAAAAATTACAAAAACATTAAGATTCGCATCAGTTACAATGTTGCGATAAAAATGTTTGTAGAAATTGAAAGTTTCGTACCTTGCCAAAATTGGTCATGATTGAGGCTTCAGTATACAATAACAACAAATACGGTGATTGATTATGAATTAAAGAAACTGAGGTGAAAAATACCAGACGTAAAATCAGATCTTAGTTTAGTCCAATATTAACATTTTTATAAAGTTTTCATATCAGACCAAGAATCAGAAACAAAATCAAATTGGTAGAAAAAAATCAGAAATCAAAAAAGCTTTAAAAAGAAATAAAAATCACAAAGTCGATTAAAACGGAATTCAGGTACAAGTAAAGATGTCACTTTGTAATATATATTATTTTTATCTTTTACGGGTACAATTTAATTTTCTCCATATGAAAACATTTTATTAATTTCTAGGTTTGTTTTATTTTTACTTAATTTTATTTAACAATTTACTATCATGTGTTATTTGAATAAAAATGTTTTAAATCTTAATTAACGGTTTATTCATTTATTTATCCTCACATGTACATACTTTTACATATACATACATGTACACATTGACATGAGGGACTATATAACTAAATATTCACCACAAGTGAGAATTTTAATTCTTATTGAAGTTGAAGTTTTTTTAATGTTTTCTTTCACTATCGTTCAAATTGTAGTGAAATGTTTTGTGTTATTAATTTTATTTTCTTTTTTCTTCAAATATTATTTAAATTTTCTTTGATTTTACATGTCTTTAGAAATTATAATAAGAAACTATTAGTTCGACATCAAAAATGTCTAAAATTTATATAAAACGAAAGAAAACAAATAACAATAGTTTTTGGTTATCATCAAAAAAATTTAAAACATCAAACATTAAACCAAACAAATCAAAATAAATATATATTTAGAATGATAGTTATATTTTAGGACATTACAAAAACAACGTAAAACTGAACCAATATCTATGCTAAACAAACATAATATCATTTTTATCTTGAAAGTAACAAAAATAATAATCTCATTCCGCGAAAGGCGCATGTTATTACCTAGTTCTATAAATATTCTAAATCTTCTTTTCCAATCAAAATCTTCCTCTCCAAGTAAGTGTTCTCAAGGAGTCATAGTCTATCACTTCCACATTTTCACCTTGTCGTCATCAAGAATTTATGTATTTTCCACTTTGCAAGTTTCTTCAACACTGGTTGGTGTGTCGCAAGAACATGGTAAGCATTGTTATCCATCTCGACCTTTGTCCGCCTCTCTTTCTCTTGCTGGCGTATTTCCTTACACTTTGGGTCAACAAATCCTAACAACTCTTCTTGATCCAGCCCCGAGAAGTATCCTCTTCATTTGCTTCATTCATACTTTTTTTTTCCTCTTAGTGATCTTCGTCCCTTAAGAGAATATCCTCCTTTCTGCTGAGACAGCTCAAAGTTTTGCTCACCTTATCGTCCATTTCATCTTTCTCTTTATCCTTGCGGAATTGTTGGTGCAGTCTGAGTTTGAAATCTTCCCAACTGCTAAGAGGACTGGTCATGAACCATGCCTGATGAAACATTTGCTACAAACCTCCATTTTTATAGGCTTCCATGAATCAAAAATCCAAATGCATTATATATATATATATATATATATATATATATATATATATATATATATATATATATATATATATATATATATATATATGTGTGTGTGTGTTTATATATTTATTTATTTTAGTGATCATATAAAGTCCACATCAATTTTGTTGTTTTAAGATTTTGTTAGTTAACTCAAGCTAGGTTTAATAGGCTTAACAACATAAAAATTCAGTGGGCTAGTAATTAAAAAAGTGCATATAACTAAAAACCTAATTCAAAATGACTATCGTTTCTTCAGAAAACTTGTGTTTTATTAGTTGTTTAGCACTTTGTATTCAAAAGTATTTCTATTAGTTTGTTTTATTATATTTTGTTATGTAGTATATTGGCCCCCATTTTTTATTTTGTTTCTAGTCCTTAGAATTTCAATGCTGGCCCTGACTACTAAACAGAGACCGTGAATCTTCATAATGGTACCATGTCCTAGCATCACCATCTATGAAACCATATGCAAACTGCCTTGTTTGAAAACCAGAAAAGCCTTGAAAATTTCCAAAAGCATCAACCCAAGACATTCACATTTTTGGATATTTTCCACAGAA